CACACTAGAGAACATGATATAGTAAAACCAGAACTCACAAAGGATGTTGATTTTTTAGTTTATGATAAAAGATCAGTATAAATGCTGAAATCTAAAAATCACATTTTGAATAGTTGTTTGTTCAAGCAGTAATCATTTTTTTAAATGGAACTGAAACATGAGATATGGAGTTATGTTCATGATTCAGAGGGCATTAAATGAAATATTGTCTGGGTTCTTTCACTGAACAGTACTGACAGATGCCAGTTGCCATTGTAATTCTGATCAGGCTATTGATTATGATGGATATAAATATGTACCCATTGTATACAGTGGCGTAACTTGTGACTGGATTTCGGATATAGTGACAGGTTTTGATTGATAGCAAGCATACAAGGATACAACATACGGTTGGATCTAGGCATGTCGTGCAACATATATTCAGGTATATCCCTGCTTGTCAGACTTAAGCTGTCCGCTCACAATTGTGACTCAGTTGAAAGTAATGCTATGTCCGCACTTTACTAAAACTGTGTCTTATCAGAAGAGGCTACTTTGTATGTGTATATTGTTGTACATATAGTAAGTTGAAAATGTACAAGACTTAAGAGACTTGTCATTTATTATTGATCTGGGAGAGGGAGCAAGGGTCATTTTCTCTGCTCCCAAGTTCAGTTTGGTTTAATATTTTTATTGCTATCTTGTATACACGAATTACAAGTCAAGTTTTTTTTATATGAAATTACACAAACACTTATACTATCATAACCAGTATCTTTGCAGCTTTGTACCAGTGAGAATCCTATTTAAGATCCATCTCATGTGAAGCTCATTTCTGGTGTCCCACAGAGGGTTGCTTGACATGGGCAACAGATCCTCCGAGTGAGAGCAACCACTGCTTGTCATATGAAGTGACTAATGTGTTTTGGTGGTCGGGCTCACTGACTGGGTGATGCAGGTTATTGTATCCCAATTGCGTAAATCGATGCTCATGCTGTTGAACACTGGATTGTCTGGTCCAGACTCCACTATTTACAGACTGCCGCCATATAGCTGGAATATTGCTGAGTTCAACGCTACACACCAAACAAGCAGCAAACAAATCAGGTTGGAGGGGTACATAGTACATATTACATAGTGGTAGTAGGTAGTATTAGTAGTGTGTACCAGTGTTGGGAATTGGTTGAAATCTCACAATTGATGATTGCTTCATTACCAACGAACAATCATTGAAACAAATTGGTTAGCGTCATTTTTCAGATTTTCCTATCCAGGTTGTTATTGCTGATATGTATAACATGATGCAACTTGCTACTTTAAAGTGATGACTAATATATCATGAACATAAACTTCCTGGAGTCTTAGAGAAATATTCAGTCATGACTTTTCAGTTGGTGAAGTGAGTTTTCTAAGAACTAAACACGTTTTCAGGCCCTGACAACTTCAACAATATGTTTCATTGTCAAGTATTTCAAAGACTAAACCAGTAGTTCCAAAATCGTTTATGTTCGATTATGAGAAAATGTGATCGATTGCTTGGTCGTTTGGTCACTGCGACCAATCTTCGATTATTTCAATTAATTGGAACACCACTAGTGTGTATGGTTTTACACAACTTATAGCAATATTCCAGCAATATTCCAGCAATATCATGGCCGGGAACACCAGAAATGGGCTTCACACATTGTACCCATGTGGGGAATCGAACTCGGGTCTTCAGCGTGATGAGTGGATGCTTTAACCACTAGGCTACACCACCGCCCCTGGGTTGTAGTTGTAGTAGTAGTAGTAGTAGTAGTAGTAGTAGTAGTAGTAGTAGTAGAAGTAGTTGGGTTAAAGGTCTTGTGGTAGCATGCTGATGAGGGTAATATTATCAGCAGTGGTAATAGTTGTGGCTTAAGACTGATGATCCGTACAACCTTTCCTTATCCTCAGTATGCATCTGTGTACAACAAATTGACAATTGACAATCCTGGATTCATCATTCATAAGACACCTTCAGTTTAGGCCAGGTAAGGTATGTGAATATCTTGGTGTTTTCGATTGTCATGTCTCGTGTAAACACACCAGGTGACTTTTCACATTGTCGCCAAGTTGCCATGCCTTCTGAGCCACGATGAGATCAGCAACCACATGTCTTGCTCCAGCTTGAAGGAATTTCTGGGGAAGATTTCCAATTTGTCATTGCCATATCATATCATATCTGGCTTAGTTGAATAGGACGTCGACGAATATTTCAGTAGTTCTCGTTGCCTCTGTGATAAATGGCCGTCTGCATTGTGTGGGTTGTGAGCCTGAAGTTGTCCACCAATACTCTCTAAGCTGACCTTGCTTAAATTTCACCTGTGAGGACAAAAGTTGTCATAACGTCAGGTCTGGTTTGTCATTTGAGATAAATAGATTTGATTTTGACACTTTTGCTTTTTGCATTATGACAGCGGTTTTTGTTAGTTGTGGCGTGTTCAGGAAAATATTGAATAATTGAAATTTGATGGAGATGTACTTGTGTTGAAGTTTACTGAATATATTGATAGTTAGCCTCCATACAATAACTAAACTAGAATCTGAAGATGAAGTATGGATCTGAACAAGTGGATACTGTATTTGAATGTATTGTATGAGAGAAAACATGGCCGCCTTTCCGCCAATCTGAGACAATATTGTGTAAGGAATCATAGTGTTCTTTTAAGGGCTAGTTTTGTTATTTAAGAACCATATGCATTACGGCCATCAAATATTTTTGTTTTTATTTCGTTTTTTGTTATCATTGTATCAATATTCTATTTGTGAGTCAGTTTGTTTAGTTACATACATAGCAAGGGCGGGTAACTCTGAGCATGTTTCATCGTAATATCCTAGACATAACAGTGACTGTAAAGTTTCTTGATGAATTGTCTCTGATATGCTTCTGTTTAGTGACAGTGTATGAGATATTAGCTACTGAATAAGGCCATTATGAATTAATTATTATATTTTAACCACGCTGGCTTAACTTTCAAGCACCTGTCTCACGTGAGTTTATTGTTCATGGGTTCCAACAGATGAAGAACCATGTGTTGCCTTCTTTCTTTACTTGACGAAGTACACAATTACTCATCATGCAAATCACATCGGTTGACAGTTGATGTACCTTGAATAGTCTGGTTAAATTAGATTATTGATGTATGCCTTCCACCATAAGTTTTGAATGTTGTGGTTGAATGTGTAGTAATTGATTTATTGTTGCCTTGAAGACAGAATGTAAACTAATATTAATCCAAATCAGAATATTAAATTCACAATGTGTATATAATTTTCTATTATTCATTATTGTATCATGTGCAAGACCCCTAACCTTCTCAGTACTAAAATAGGTCTTAAGCAAAAACATAATTTGATTTATCTGTTAAGGAAATATTTGTACTAGTAGCAAATCAGGTATTTTCTACAGTGAAACACTTTGAAAATATAAAGTGACTATTTGGTATTGATTGCAGATTTAAATGTTATCAGGTAATCAAGAGATTTCATGTATAAACTATTCAAATTAATACTTTTTCATTAATTCTTCTCTGTCAAAAGAAATTGTTAGAGTTATTGGTATCATATAAAAATAATGGTTAAAATTTCTAAAAAGAAAAAGACATTGTCAGTGTAACATATGGATGGAAATTTTTAGAATAAACAGGATAATTAACAAACTATATAAAATTTCTTCAAATAAGCACGTGTCAACATCCTGGATCTCATTTACATGCATTTTGTTTGTGAAAGACAAACCGTATAATAATTTGTTCAGAACAATATCTATCAGATCTCTCATGTATGAATTAGTCATGATCAGAGGACTCTGAGAAGCAGATTTTACATTATCATTTGGGACGAACAGCATAATTTGTTTCGTCTGTGAATTGATGAGAAAGCACAATAAGGGGAGATAACTCTGTTATGAATAGGCTACTGGGTCTTTTCACTATTGAGCCCAGCATTGATTATCTGCAGGTGTGGATTCTTGTAATGTTGGGAGATAAAGCCGCAGAGGTAACTCAGTTCGCAGCCGTGAATATATTGGATTTGTTTTGTTGGGGACAATTTACGCATACAGTGAAACTGACTGCGGATGTACCTATATTGCTTTCATGTGCGTGTGATTGTCTGTTTATTCCGAGTTGAATTAACACCTTCGTTGGTTGTTACCTGGTTTCATCGCCTTATATCTGAAAATAATTGTTAAGTTCACGCTCCCTGCATAAATGGAAATTAGTTATTATTTTTTAGCTGATAAAAAAGTGTTCCATTTAGCATGAGAACTGCAACACGTTTTCAGTCTGAAAGTTCATAAAACCTGTTGTGAATAGACATGAATATTATGGTTTTTTTTGTTGCATTGTCTGTAGATGTTTTTCCTTCAGAGCTTTGAAAAATGGCAATTTAAAATGTTCCAACACTGACATACATGGCAACAATGTAAATTGTTTCAAATATGTCACTGGGTTCTTTTCATGTTCATTTGCGACCTCAGAGATAAAGTGGGCCAACCAGAAAAATCCAAACACTTTTGAATTGAAAATGAAGTAGAAATTTTTTATTTTGTTCATCATCATGTTATTGTGGTCATCAGTTTCCTTGATTGTTCCATTTACATGTGTGAAACTATATTTATCACCAGCTTGATTCCTTAAATATTGTTGCAAATTGTATGTATTAAAATAGCATGTAGTTTCGAAATGTCTCATCACAATAAAGTATAGACATAACAATATGGATATGACCAAAAATAACATGTCCGTTTCCTGTAACCCGACCGACCGACCCTATCCTAACCCACCTTTTTTTAATCTCTTTTTAACCAAGTCAAAATCATGACTGGAGTGCATTTCAACTCATCATTTTCATCCAAATCGAGTATGATATATTCATGTTTTTCAGTGAAAGTCTGCTAAAAGTAGAAATCTACAGGAAGTGTTTAACAATGTACCATTAGTTTTGAGAATGTTTGATGCCAAATGTGCAATGTTTAACCTCGTACCTCTCTTTTTCAGAATGTTTGGTGCCAAATGCAATGGATGTCTACAGACAATTCCAGCCAATGAGCTGGTAATGCGAGCTTTGGGATATGTTTATCACCTGCCCTGCTTTGTGTGTGTGGCTTGTGGGCACCAGCTACAGAAAGGGGACCAGTTTGTTGTGAAGGATGGACAGTTGTTTTGTAGGCTTGACTTTGAGAAGGAGTTCAGTATGATGCCCATGAGCCCCAAAAGTGAGTGTGAGTTGAGTCTTATATTTTCTCTTTTTCATAATGAAATGTTGGTTGGCTGATTTGTCTTTGCATTTTCTGAAAGAGAATTGTTTTGAGTTGATATTGAAATGAAGCTCCGAGTACTAGCTACAAGCTCCGAGCGAGTACTAGCTACAAGCACCGAGTACTAGCTCGAGTACTAGCTACAAGCTACTAGCTCCAAGCACAAGCTACAAGCTTCGAGTACAAGCTACTAGCTTTGAGTACTAGCTACAAGCTCCAAGTACAAGATACAAGGTCTGAGTAGTACTAATGTTGTTACTGGTCCCCAGGACTAGCTTCAAATATACCCTGAATTTCCAACAGTGAGTTAATGATGATGGTTTTATGCAGCTCCTAGCAATATCACAGCTCAGGACTCGTCTTCCTCCTTAGAAGTTCATAGGCCATAAAGAACTGATTATGTGATATGCATTTTATGGTTGCATGCATGACAACATGCCATACATTTTCTTAGAATTGAAAAGAAATATCTTTGTGTTATCCAGTGTTAGCTGTGATGCTTTGTAGTTTAAAAGTGAGTGAATGAGTGAGTTTGGTTTTACGCCGTTTTTAGCAATATTCCAGCTATATCAAAGGTGGGGGCACCAGAAATGAGCTTCACACATTGTATCCATGTGGAGAATCAAACCCGTGTCTTCGACGTGACGAGCTAATGCCTTAACCATTTAGCTACCCAACTGCCCTAAAAAGCACTCCAGACTTCATTTAGATGATAGAGAAATGATTTAGATGTTGTTTTTCCTCCAGGTGACACAAGTGATTGTGGTTTTGATGATGATGGCCATGATACCCCAAACAAAGGACCAAAGCGGCCCCGTACAATTCTCACCACCAGTCAGAGACGGAAATTTAAACAGTCATTTGAAATTAATCCCAAACCATGTCGGAAAGTAAGTATAACCGTCAGATGATTGGCTCTTACGTTCCTATAGTAACAAGCAGGATGATTGGCTCTTACTTTCCTATAGTAACAAGCAGGATGATTGGCTCTTACTTTCCTATAGTAACAAGCAGGATGATTGGCTCTTACTTTCCTATAGTAACAAGCAGCAGGATGAAGAATTGTATTCAGCCATAATCTAATAGAAATGATTTTATAAGGGGAGACATTCAATATCTCACTGACAATGACAAAGATGCAGGGAGAATGTATATGGTACACCATCAATACTTCTTAGGTGTGATACTTTTCTTATGGTTTCCTACATCTCCTATGATATTACATCTGTTTGAACTGGAGTGATGTCCTGTTCGTAAACACTGAATCAAGCCATGGTTTTGGTCCATTGAGAGAGAAATCAGCAAGCGATCCGACCAATATCAATCTGATTCCACCCAACTAGTGGCAATATTTTTCAGGCAGCATGCTATTTCCTTGTGACCATATACTTCACACGCTGTTTCAGTAAAAGGCATCAGTATGGTTTTAACAAAATTTGAAATTCAGAAGTGCTTCTTTTAACACATTTCTTCAACAATCTTCATTACATGACAACTGATCTGATTTCCACTAAACTCTATGACTATTATGCAGATAGTTGTAGACAAAATGGGAGCTTTTTATAACGGTCCTTCTTTAAATCCGAGTACTTAAGTAAAACCCTAATTATACTGTTAGGTGTATAAGTTTTATTGTTAAAATTGGTGTAAATCCATACACACTTGCTAACTGATATTTATCTGTCAAAGCCAACCCTGTGGCCATATATCATATGGTACATAAAGTAAAAAATGTAAATTACCATAAAAGTCAAAAAACACTTCAGTTGAATTCTGCATGACTGATAAGGCATAGAGATTTTATGTGGGGACTTTTTCTGTCGATTTCTGTCGATTTTCACTGTAACAGTTGTTCACGTCAACATTTTACCATCACAACCAACTTTATATCAATGCAGTCTTTCAGCATCTTCATTGTGTGTTGAATTTATGGCTTTCAAATCCATTTAAAATTCATAAATTCATTTTAACCTCAACGAATAAAAACTACATTCATAAGCTTTTGAAACAACCTACAAGTAATCTACGTCATCTGAAGGTCATTGATGGATGAGGTATTGTTAGTGTAGTAGCAGATCAAAATTCCATTGCTTGTTTACATGAAAATAGATATTACACGAATGACATGTGCAACGCTATTGATCAGTTCCTGTGGCAGTTTAGGTGCATGAGAACATGCATACAGAGAAAGCATGCACGTATTGTAAGCACCTTTACTTTGGTTGTGACAGCTTGTCAGTGTTCACTGAAGCAGCAGAGCTCCTACTGAGTGCGTAACATTCCTTTCAAGCAAACATGGACCGACAATGGTTCACATTTGCGCACCAGGAAATGTTTCTTGCTATTTTGCATGTCAAGGTGTTACCACATAATTTCATAGCTTGATAAGATATTTTGTAATGATAACAGTTAGGAATTGATTTTTTGACATTACTAATGTTCTTTTTTTGGTTTTTACATTCGAGAGTGATAGTTATTGTTGTCAGACTTTTTGGTTTGAAGACAAAGTAGTTTATATGTACTTTGGGAGAGTATATTATGGGTTGATATGATATACTGAAAAAAACATATATAGGAACACAGGAAAATTCAAGTGTTCCTGTAATATTCTCCAGTTTTCATCACCAGCTTTGAATAGTTCTTTGGGAGAAATCAGAGAATAAAACAAAGGAACACTGCCATGAAGTGGTGTTCCCTTATTTGTTTCCATCAGTTTATATGACCGGTTCCTGAATAATGTTTAGAGAATTTGTTCAGAGAAATAGATGTTCACACTACCCAAAAACATCACCATATTGTTGTGATAACTTGCATTTGTGAAGTTGTATGTGTCTGTTCTTATGTCCCTGATTAAAGTTATATATTAACTAGATTTATATATTAACTAGATTTATTACATAATTGTATACTGCCATTCTTTTCTCTTCATAACTGAAGTGGTTTGACTGTAGAAATAATTTAAAAAACACTTTTTTCCAGGTGAGGGAATCATTGGCTGCAGAGACAGGGCTGAGTGTTCGAGTAGTACAGGTGTGGTTCCAGAACCAGAGAGCAAAGGTAGGTCATCTCGAATGAGTGAGTGAGATTCAGTACCTTTCAACAGTTTACCACTTTTGTGTTGTGTCTTGTTCAACCTCACGCTCAGCAATCTTCCACCTATGTGAATGCAGCCTTTGAATAATTGAGTCTGGGCCAGACAATCCAGTGATAGATGTTTTGAACCACACTCCACGCCATCAGTTAGAAAGGCATGTTATCATCAAAGTCATTGAATCTGACCACTAAGCTGGGATTGTAACCCATGACCACAGGCTTCTAGTCGGTATAGCAAATCATAGCAGCAAGTAATAAGTATACTTTCAGGTCCAGTTTTTAATTGGGACAGGGAATTGTATTGCATATTTTTTTAGAAACGTTTTCTATGCCCTGAATGCTGCTTGAAGAATATGGTTACTGAGATTATATTTCTTTTCAGGTCAAGAAAATTGCAAGAAAACAGAATATGGAGAATAATAACAACACTGGGGATGGGAAAAAATCACAAAAATCACAAAAAAGGAAAAAATCGGATGATGATAGTGATTCCTCAGGTGATTATTCCGGTACACACAATTTACATGTTATTTCTTCTCCTAATGTAGGCTGCTACATAAAGTGTACCACATGTAATACATGTGTCACATATTGTTGTAAGATAAGACACCTAGCTAAATCCAAGAAGTCCACAGAGCAATATTGGCTGATAATTTATGTATACTAGCTAGGTTAGTGCAAAACTGAGTATTTTCACTAGTTTCTGGATGAGCTGGCATATGACTTTGTCTTTCCTTGTTGGACTTGAACACAGGTCTTCAAATTTAATGAGCTAACACTTTAACTATTGGGCTACTCTTCTCTTTTCCATTTTACAAAACCTGTTTGCAAGCAAACTTTTGTATTTAATGATTAATGTAAGTTTGTAATGTCTTTATTAAGTGTATTTTGAATTTTGTTTTATGTGATATTTGTTTTTATCACTACAGATGGAGGCATGAACCCTGACAGTGATGAGAGTGTCTTAACAAGTGAGTATCACTGTATATACACTACCTGGAGTATATAATGGCTTGTCCAATGACATGGCAGTTAGGCCCACCTTGTTACATTATATCATAGACAATAAGTTGTGTACTCCTCAGGAAGCTGAGAACGAATTTGGGTTCCCACTGATCACACTAAATGTGGAAATGTCTCGAGCACACACTTGAAGCAAAAGGAATCTGAAGTATGACAAATGAGCTCATTATCATGACACAATTTAGATTACCACAATGGCAGTCAATAAATTTTGGACAAAAACAAAGGTTGAAACTCAATGTGTTAGTACAATGATCATAGGCAGTTGTTACAACAATGTCATGTTAAATCAATGAATTTATGTAAATATGTATTGTATCTCTCTGATGTGTCAGTAGCTCAGCTGATGTAACACAAATTCCGGAAAAGGCATTAAAGTATTATTCTATTCTGTTCTAATTTAATCACTCATCCACAGAAAGCATTGTGATGCATTTTCATTATGATGACATCATCCTAGCAACATCAAATATCACCAAAATGAAGCCATTCTGGTCTAAGTAGACACAATTTATGGATAACAACTTTTCTAATTTAGTAGTTGTCACATTCAAATTTTTAAACTGTCTATTTTGTCAGACACAGTTTTGCCAACTTCCAAGAAATGCCAATCAAACAATTCAGTCAGCTATAGATAGCACCAAGTGAAAGTAGTGCCTCACTACTCTGCTTGTCTTGATAAGTGTTAACCAAAAGTATTGTGTTGTTGCAGATTTACCGCCGTTGTCAGAGAGTCAGCAGTTCCCTGGTCAAAGTCATCCTTATGACCATCAGTCCCATCAAGGTATGATCTGCAGTAAGTGATTCTATCAATGCATACCAATGTCATGGTCAGATTTCATTTCAAAGTATAAATTGGTTCATCTATGTGTTAAGTTACACATATATAATTCACAAAATATTATATCTATTTCCCTGAACTATGCTAATCAAGGGTGCTGCCAAGATAGGGTTGAGTGAGTGAGGAGTGAGTGAGGATGGTTTTGCGTCACGTTTAGCAATATTCCAGCAACATCATGGCGAAGGACACCAGAAATTTGCTTGACACATTTTATCCATCTGAGGAATTGAACCTTGGTCTTTGGCATGACTAGCTGACCACAGGGATAATACCTTGCAAGTACATCCATGTACATGTCTGCTCTCCGTTAGGATTTGGGTTAGAGGAATTGGTCCCCAGCAACCTATGCTTGTTGTAGAGAGTGAGTAAGTTTAGTTAAAGACACTTTTAGCAATATTCCAGCAATATCATGGTAGGGAAAACCAGAAATGGGCTTCACACATTGTACCCATGTGGGGAATCGAACCTGGGTCTTCGGTGATGAGAAAACGCTTTAGCCACAAGGCTACCCCCTGCCTATGCTAGTTGTAAGAGTCAGGTTTACAGTGTGTGCACCAATATTTATGTGTGTAAATCCATAAATGCAAATAACATTGAAGTCAGTTCTCTAGTATTAGAGGTGTGACGATACTGAAATTTCACGATGCGATACGTATCGTGATATCATGGAACGATATGATTCGATACAATGCATATCACGATATGCTATCTTTAGTTATTTTCTTTAAAAAAGTCTATTTTGATAACAAGAAATAGTGTAAATTTTGACATAACCGTCAATTTCTAGTGAAAATTCACAATTTTAAGGTCAATAATACATATCACGATGCGAAAAAAAAATATCGATATATATTTATTGTCAGAAAAAGTATCACGATTATCGATACTACGATATATCGTCACAGCTCTATCTAGTATATTTACATGATCAGTTACTTTTGTTGCTGAGTATGTGTTTCTGGTTTTGGTTTCAGGCAGCATGTTTACAGTACAAGGACTGCCTGAGAGTATGTACCCAGAGACACCGATGCCACTGGATGATGGTGTCGAAGCTATTGATCAAATGCTGATGAACGACAGCACAGGCCACCCCCATATCTCAGCATCTGGACCCCTTATCAACCCTATAGACAAACTGTACTCCATGCAAAGCTCATACTTCAGTGCTGAGTAGACGACGGCTCTTCCTATGTGTGTGTGTTGTGCTGGGGAATGTGTCAAAGACTTCGGGTTGTTGAACACAGGGCTTGTGTCAAAACTAGATTGTGTCAAAAAACTTCACGTAATGGCACCGAGAAGCCATGGGATGAACTGAGCATGGATTCGTGTCATATTCACTGAACAGATTTCACTGTATAGATGACATTACTGTATAAATATATAATTTATTTATTATTGTGAATATAATGTTATTAGATTACCAAAGATCTATGACATTCCATGTGCATTTTATCAAAATACGGAACAGAACCTACTACATTCACTACCAAGAGCATACAATATCATAGAGCAGGCTGCTTAGACAGGTAAACATTTTCGGGGTAATTTATCTAGTTGGATTTAGTTTTAAATAATGGCAACGCTTATTCAAGGATGTCTAATAATTGAATGATATTGTGAATATTCATTTTCAACAATGAAACTTAAGCATATAGATGTGTTTAAACTATACTAAACTAAAAGATTAGAATCAAGTTGATAATAATAAGATATTAGACTGATCAACGATTCAACTTGATCTGCTTAATGTCTTTAACACCTAGTCATTTAGTCTATCAGTAATGAATTCATTTCTTATGCTCTAGTTTTTCAGTACAAACATTTTAACTGATTTATTATATCCACACGTTTTGATTATTAATGAATTGAATTATTAAACTATAGAAGATAGCGAGGTAGAGCTCAAGTTCCAAAGTGTATACACCCACCTGAATTTCACTACTGAGAAGAATCTTCACTGTTCCCTGAAGGTGTTCTTTTCAACATGCCCTGTATGTGCAACGTAACTTGGACGTCCATGTGATTGCAGATCAGGATGAAAGAATTGTCAATACAGGAAACGATAACTGCAACCAGCCTATCTTTGTTATGTACATGGCTACAGGTCTTGAAGGAAGAATCAAGGCTACTATTATTCTATTTATTGTTTCATGGACTTTCTGAGTTAAAATTATGCATATTTAGATGTGTTGAAATATGGACAGTTTATATTTTACAGTGCATTTGGTAATTAGATCCTTATCGGGAGCCAATAATGACAGATGCAACGCAGTTGTTTTGAATACTAAATTTCTGACTTCATGACAAATTGACTTAAGTTGTATGAAAGAGTTTGGTGCCTGATCCACAAAGCGTTCGCAGCACAACGATATTCGCAAGTCTATGATGAACTTACGATTGCTCGTAACACTACGAACGCTTTGTCGATCGGCACCCTGGTGATCTTCAAACACATTTCGAGTAGCTTAGTCTCACTACATAGTAATTTTCCTGATAGCTGTGCCTAGATGTTAACTGAATGTTAACATCACAATATGCAGAATTTCAAACAAGGTTGATGTTCTCATAGTGCCAGAGAGGTTGAATACTGCAATGGCATGACATTCCAATACTTTAGCAATTACCCTTTTACAGATAGTGCTATGATTCTGATTAAAAACCCCTGTGCTTGCATTTTACCAGTAAGTTGTGAATTTGTTGATATGTTTGTATGTTAATAGTGCAATATATGGCAGAGAAGAATGTACATAGTTAGTGTTGTAGTGTGTGCATGTTTCTCATGTTTGTCCTGGGTTCCTGGTAGGAGGATTTCAATACTATGCTGCATCATTGCTGGACTGAGTAAGAGTGCAGTGACTCCATTTCAAGATTGGACTATTTTCAATTCAAGTTTGCTTAAATTCTTTCCTTTCTACAAAGATAAAACTCTCAGGCTGTGTTGATCCATATCAGTGCTTTAGCAATGCAATTTTGAGAGTTCTGTTCCATGGCCATGCCAAGATCTACAGATTATTTGAAGACTAAATTTGCCCTGACATTGATCTTTGGTGTTACCATTTGCTAATATGGTTTACGTAAAAATATTTGTGAGCTGCCAAATTCTGACTGTGTCCCTTATTCTGTTTTCAGCAGCATTAAGCCAACTCACTTTAATCAGCAAATATCAAACTTATCTAGAGACAAAATCTTCTTGTCCACTCAACTGACCAAAATTGTCTATATATTATTAAATCAGTCTCTTAATGCCACAGTTTTGACTAAAGATCTTAACAATTTTTAGATTGCCTTGGGCAGTTCACACATTGTTACACAAGACAATCATGAAATTTTTGTGGACATCCTGCCCACTATATAGTCTGATTTTATTTCAATTGTAAACAATACAGAGCACTTGATAAGGCGATCGGAAGACCATCAGAAATTAAATACTTCATGTCATACTTGGGGGTTGTGCCTTCACCGAGTGATTCATGCATTTGCTTGTGATGCTGAAGACCCAGGTTCGATTCCCCACATGGATACACTGTGTGAAGCCCGTTTCTGGTGTTCACTCCCATGATGCTGGTAGAATATTGCTAAAAGCGGCATGAGACCAAATTCACTCACGTCAGAATTGGTTTTAGCTTGAACACAAAAGTTACCATAGCTTCTAAACACATCTTGTCCACATGCATGTTGTAAATATCCTGTAAAGTATTAAACTACATTTTCTTATGTTGGTCCCAAATTGGAACCTCTGTCAGCATTGATATCACATAAAATATTATAGTAGGTTGTGAAAATAATGGTTGTGACTTTACAAGAAATCCACGAAAAAATCTCATCCATCAAATCCATCTTCCAGCTGCTGCCGAAGTTCAGTTGCACAGAGGGTTCAAGAATGTACCGTTTCTCGGATACCACGTTCTTAAAGATCCTTTCAGAACATATATTTATTGTATTGTTACAGGTCTATGATCTTGTTTATTTGTTACTGTTTGTATACATAGTGTTTTATTTATTTCTTTGGCAGATATTTGATAGATCAGGAAAGGGGGTATGATAGATAATATCACTAGGGTTAGACAACACCTATCTGTTTGATTAGAAAAGACTAGGAGCTGCTGATTGATGGACTGAATACAGTGAAATCATAATCTCAGAATGTCAATGCAACCAAATACCTTCTTATGTGATTTGGAAACCTATAACTTTAGGGGGTGGTGGGGTAGCCTAGTGGTTAAAGCATCTGCTCGTCACGCCGAAGACCCGGGTTAGATTCCCCACATGGGTATAATGTGTGAAACCCATTTCTGGAGTTACCCGCCGTGATATTGCTGGAATATTGCTAAAAGCCAAGTAAAACTAAACTCACTGTAATTGTGCACAATTGGCATGTTACCATCTTTATTAACTGTATTCAAGTTCTGTAAACCTTTAAGGTCAGCTATCCTTTGAAATTCTTATTCATTGCGTGAAACCAGGGTTTGTGGCCAGGAGTCATAATATATCGGTAGGTCTGTTTTCATGACCAATTGTGATCTCTATTCATTGTCCAAATATGTCTGTTGAAAGTGACATTATCTTAAATGTACAAAATTGTTTCCTTTGCATTGTTTTCCATGCCACATTTCTTGTGTAGATTGCACATTTGAGTACAGTGCACACACCCTATTCTGGGTACGTTTCTGGAAAGTTAGTATTTAGTATGTACTGAACACTTACATCATGTACCTGATCTATACCAGAGAGAATGAACGAATAGGTTAAAACAAACTTGGTCAAGGAAAGTGCGAATTCGTAGATGAAAAAGTATGCGACACTTGGATTGTACATCCTGTTTTGGCAGACATGTTTCACATACATTCTTCATACCAAATATGACAAAATGTTCACAATATGGCATAATGTATTACTTCTGAACTATACATTTTCATTTTAATGAACAGATCAAGAGATTCCTTTGGAAGGGAGTGTAGATTGGGATGTGTAATTCTGTGCTTTACTGGTTTTCCTGGTGGGAATATTCATTGACAGGTGTACGTCATTTTTCCAGACACCTGGATTGGTTTGGATCTCAATTCTTCTGAGATAGCAGTTGAATCTTTTTGAAGCTATGAACTTCAATAGCAGATATTTTGTGGCCAAAGAAATAGATCCTTAACATTGACTGTTGAAAGTTCCTTTGCAAAGATATCCTTTGATGGTAGTGTAACATTAAATTTTAACAATCAGAGCCTCCTCTCCACAAACTGCTTCGAGTGTCGTAAGGCTATAGTAGAGTATGGGTCCTACGATCCTCTTAGCACGAATATTGTTTGTGGAATGGTTCTCTTACAGACAAATGATGTTTAAGCTTTTGTGATGATCTGTATAAAGGTTTCCTTCTGCTCCATCGTGTATGTACTTGGTCTGGGATGGTGTTTCCCAGTGACTACAAAGATACCTTACAGTGTTTAATCTGTTGTGATGATCTGTCGTACTCATCAGTTCCTAAATGTCATCTTGGTTAATAATGAATGAATAAAACCTCATTTCAGTTAATTCTGTCTTGTTTTCAATGTTATTACAGAAAATATAGAAGCTGTGATTACATCAAGTTTGTTTGCTTGTGCTGCAATCAGCAATGTGAGTTAATATGTAGTTAGGCGTTGATGGGGAGTGAAAAGAGCTTTGTCTTCAAGATAGGGCTGGGACAAGACCCTTTTACCTGACCCAGTCTAGGTACCCACTACAGGTCTCAACATTTGGGTACACAAATATACTACCCATGTACGTGACATCCTTTTACCTGACCCAGTCTAGGTACCCACTACAGGTCTCAACATTTGGGTACACAAATATACTACCCATGTACGTGAACCTGACCCAGTCTACTACCCATTGGGTTACCTGACCCAGTCTAGTAGGTACCCACTACAGGTCTCAACATTTGCGTGAATATATCCCCTTTTACCTGACCCAGTCTAGGTACCCACTACAGGTCTCAAGATTTGGGTACACAAATATACTACCCATGTACGTGACATCCTTTTACCTGACCCAGTCTAGGTACCCACTACAGGTCTCAACATTTGGGTACACAAATATACTACCCATGTACGTGACATCCCAGTCTAGGTACCCACTACAGGTCTCAACATTTGGATCCTTTTACCTGACAACTATACTACCAGTCTAGGTACCCACTACAGGTCTCAAGATTTGGGTACACAAATATACTACCCATGTACGTGACATCCTTTTACCTGATCCAGTCTAGGTACCCACTACAGGTCTCAAGATTTGGGTATATTTGAATTTCATCCACTGAATTAAGCAAACAGACATGGAAGCTCAAAAATGACAGTGAAACAAGTGAAATATTTGTTCTTAAGCATTTATTACTTAGCAACAAGGTATCACATCAAGTTTGAGTTCACATAAATTAGTAAGTGTTTCCATAAAGAAAAAGATCCTGTTGATATTAATCCCTAATATTCCTGTGCAATGACCCAAATTAATATTGCTTCACAATGGTGAATTCAGGATTCTAACCATTCAAGATGTTCTCATTTTGGGATATATTCTAAAAGTCTTAAGAAAGATGAGTATATTTTAAATTTCACACAAGTATATCTTTAACAAAAAAAAGCTTTGGATAGCATTTGGTTGTAACTTTCATTTGCATTTTTTAATTTAGCAAATTTATCTCAAATGAAATATGTTAATAAAGGGATTTTAATTGATGTAGCCTGAATAAATACGAGCAGCAGAAAATTACTCTGAAGATTAAGCACAAGGAGCAATACATGTGATTGTTACTGTAAGCATTGTCTTCAAATAGATAGAAGGCCACACATTTTTATTGTTTGGTTACAGATCAGACTGATGTATTATTAAAGAAATTAATGTCAAGACAAAAAAGCTGATGTAAACTAACTTTTCAAATAATACTATTCAAATGCACTGTAAATATTCTCAGCCAGGGCTGTGTATTGGCAAAACACTTATACTGCAATATACTGTGATACAGGTTTCTGAATCATTATTGCGATACATTGGGAGCTGAAGTGGTTGACAATAATCAACACTGCACATCCTGACCCTATTTCCTAAATACTAAAAACTAAATAAATGCCCAAATCAGCGTTGGTCAGTCGTTACCATTTTGTAGTCATGGATAGAGAGGTGATAAGAATGGGAGAGAAAATAATTTCCACATTGCTGCTGTGTTTGTCCTTAAACATAAATTGTGAAAACATTTCAGTGTAGATATTTTACACCACAAAATTTTACAAAACTTGTTATATTTCTTTTTACGAAATATACTGCAATGCAGAAAATATATTACAATAAATATCATCTGAAAAGTGTATCTGTATATTTTTCTAGAGCTGCTGCCTAATATCCTAATCTCAGCACCTTCTGACACAAATGTTCATATTCCTCTTACTGCAAAAATACTTAGCATCTTTCACTTTAACCGATTCAGCTTTTAGTCTTTCCTGCTTAAAGGACACCAGTTTTGTACATATTGCCTTACACAAGCTTACTGATTAGCCAAGATCTGTTTACCAAAACACTAAAAACCTGTGGCCTTGGGAATGCTATTAATGTTGTGCTGTGGGATCATGAAGAGAGACCAGCAATGATGTTCATAGAATGTTTTACAAGATTTCTGACATACCGCTAATTGATAACAATTCCCCAAGAATCTTGCTAAGCAACATTAATCTTGTCCATTAAATTCTTACGGAAATGTACGAAACATCAAATTCATAAGGGAAACAAATTTGCTTCAGTAAAAGCCCATCAATGAAGTCTCAAATAGGTTGAAAAATTTGAAAAGCAAATAATTATTCCAAACTTGCACAGAAAGCATGATAGATATTTGAAAACCATTTTACCAATAATTTAGATCTAAAAATCACTGGAAGTTCATCGCTCCAAACTTACTTATCATCAAAACATCAAAATTAAAACAGTGCAATACAGTGTAGAACACAGGTACAGTTAAACATGTATGGTCGACAAGGTGAGAACCAGGTGAGAATCATTGACTTGAAGGAAACATCTCTGGAGGTGACAACATCAACAGCTTGCTGACATCACAGTGAGCGACATGCAGCAGCAGCAGGAGACTGCATCGGTGACACCTTTATGTGAGGGTTCAGGGCAGAGAAGCGAAGAGCTCTTTCTGAAATTCCTCTGGGTTAGGAACCTCCTCGAGCATCCCTGTAAGAAGAAACAACAGCATCAGAGACGAACATTGCATTCAAGAATATTGCACTTATATAGCAGTTTACCCCACCCTGACATAGTATACAGACTTCAACCAGGATTTGTTTTATCCGCCTGTGCCCCTTGGAATTAAAGTATCACAGTTTGAAAATATTTTTGCTTCATCATCAAAATTGGTGATAGTTTTTCACTAAGTCTAGCTAATGAGCAGTTGTAATTTTTAGAGTTGCCTTGTTATTTTCATTGTGATATATTATAACCTTTTCTTGTTTCTGAATACCCAAATATATTCTATAAATCATACTATGCACTAAGTGATTTAGATGTTCCTAATTGTCTGTGTCATGTTGACATGTGTTTCCATGTGACAAACATTATTGTAAGGTATTAAAGTATATAATGTGCCTTTCAGGCAACAATAATTTATTTTAGCCATGCCATTATGATTTTAACAGCTACACTGGCACTAAAATATATCAAATCTTAAACTATCAGCTCATTTGACGATCAGACTGTTTGTGGTCAATTTTCAACACAAGGATAGAGTACTGAGCTCTGCTTTCCTAAATGTATCAAAGCATTTGACTATTGTGAAGTTAGGATGCTAAAGAACATGCTATTTATTACCTATGAGATCGGGGTTCATAGAGCACAAATATCACTTTGCAATGCTATGAAGTCACGTTTCTCCTATGACATTGCGTTCTACATGCGGCGACTATGTTTGAAAGTAGATTTAAGTTTATTGTTTATTGGTTACCCGTGCCTAAATATCGGTATACCCCTCGCTCTCGCTTGGGAAATATCAACATTTAGGCACTCGTGTCGTAAACATAGTATGACATGGCCACTCATATAATATCCTCTATATCTTGTATGGCTCTGCTAGCCAGCGATGACCTCTGTTATCACTAATGACCTTCACTAACATGAAACACTCCACTTAAGATCCCAAAGCAGACTGATGTTGCACTTACCAATGACATCACAGAACTCAGCCAGGGATTCACATGGTAGCATCTCCCCTTCGTAGAGACGAATGATCTTGTCACAACCCTCCAGCACTGGCTTGTCATTGTTCCCGGATGTACTCCGCCAGAGAGTTGCTCCATGAGCTTTCAGGGTTGATGGTCACTTTCTGCAATAGAAACAACGATTGAGTCAGGGTTGATGGTTACTTTCTGCATTAGAGACGATTGAGTCACGGTTGATGGTTACTTTCTGCAATCGAGACAACGATTGAGTGAGGGTTGATGGTCACTTTCCGCAAACGAGACAACAATTGAGTCAGGGTTGATGGTCACTTTCTGCAATAGAGACGTCACACTAAAGACCTGGGTTCGATTCCCCACAGGGGTACACTGTGTGAAGCCCATTTCTGGTGTCCCGCGCCGTGATATTGCTAAAAGCGGCATAAAAGTACATCTCACTCCTCATCCTTTCAAAATTGGAGAAAAACAGTTAAACCATGTCTTCATTAAAGCACAATGCCACAGAACTAATCCTCACAAATACTAATAACTGGACACCAAAACATTTTCATTACTCAAGTACTAATTTATCAGTGGACCTCACAAAAGCTACCTCCATAGTAATCAATGCTTTAACATCAACCTGGACGCTACAAAAGATATCTTCATGCAATTGCTTATAATTTACTAGATGACAGTACTGATTGTTTTATATAATGTACACTGAATACAAGAAACCTGACTCTTATACAATGGATTTTTGATTGAAACATATTTTATTCAATTAAGAAACGGATTGGGCACAAGTTATCCAACTTAAATAAGCCCTCTCCACATAGTTACAAGTGTATATTACAAAAAAGTTCAACAAGAGGCAGACAAAGGGTATAGATATGTACAGACAGAACTATTTAAATCGTTTAGTGTTATGGATGTAGATATGTACACTTTTAAAAACATTCTGATTTTCACTAAGCGAGAGACCTGCATTGCCATTTAAGATGAGATTAATATCAATACATGCTCTATTATTCACTATATTTTCTAAAGAGGTTAACATTTGTTCTCTTTGAATTATATATAATGGACATTCAAGAAAATAATGAAAAGCATTTTCACAATTATGGCCACACTGACAAAGTGCATCATTTCTAACATTAATTCTGAATAAATCATAATTAAGTGTACTTGTCATATATCTTAATCTTGTATGCAAAACATTTAGTTTCCTTTTCCCATATGAGAAATATATGGGTGCACATGTTTGTTTCACATGAACTGCAGTTTTAAAAGACACAACAGATTTACAGTTTCTGATAGCTAAGGGGATGTTATTCCACAGTTTAATAGTTGATGGAAAAAAGGATAGAGTCGAATATCGTAGTCTTGTACAGGGTTGAGTGTAATTACAGGAGTTTCTTAATTCATAATTTGTTCGACTACCTACTACAGGGGGGAGTAAATCATAAAGAAAACTTGGAGCAAGGCCTGTATGTATCTTATAAAATAACGATAATTTTTTCACCCTTCTTCTCTCAGATACAATGGATAGCGCACACTTACTTCTCATACAATAGTTACCCCCCACCCAGACCTTCCCACAATGGATGCCAGTGATTCAATGATATTACTACCATATGTGTCATCCATTTATCTCCAACCATTAAGTCTCGGACAATGGAAGCAACACAGGAGAGTTTTTTAAAAATCCAAACATTCAATAGCCATATATTGAATTTAAAACAGCTGGCCTACGAAGCCATGATTTCATTGTGATTTCATACCTGTCAGAATTCTCCATGAAACAGGAATCACTGTTCCACGGAGAGCATGCACTTGTGTACACTGTGTGAGTTTTCAAGCTGCTTTTAGCAATTTCCAGTTATATCATGGTGAGTCACTTCAGTGAGTGAGTATGGTTTGATGCTGCTTTTAGCAATATTCCAGCAATATCACAGAAAGGGACACCAGAAATGGGCTTCACTACCCACTTTTAGCAATATTCCAGCAATATCACAGCGAGGAACACCAGAAATGGGCTTCACACACAACGTTGCACCCATGTGGGGAATCGAGTCAGGGTCTTTGGTGTGACGAGCAAAGGATTGTACCACTAGGCTATCCCACCGCCTTCAGTGTTAGCTTCAGAACACAAAACTCCCTAATCAAAGTTATCAATCATTAAAAATGGATACACCCTGACCCAATACACCTTGACCCAGGGTTAAATATAAAATGGATACACCTTGAACCAGGATTAAATATAATATGGATACACCATGACCCAGTATTAAGTATATGGATACACCTTGACCCAAGATGAGATATAATATGGATACACCTTGACCCAGGATTAATTATAATATGGATACATCTTGACCCAGGGTTAAATGCAATATAGATAAACCTTGACCCAGTATTTATTATATGGATACCCCTTGACCTAGGATTAAATATAATATGGATACACCTTGACCAAGGGTTAAATATAATATGGATACACCTTGACCCAGGATTAAATATAATATGCATACACCTTGTACCAAAGTTAAATATATCAAAATACCTTGAATATATCTCAAATATTAAAACGGATACACCTTGACCTAGAGTTGGAAAGGATTCTAAGAAGTTTACTTCTCTAAGTATTGTAAGGTCTAAGCATTCAATGTCCTAGTGCTTAACTATAGTCCAGTGTAAGATCACTTTTAGCAATATTCCTGCAATATAAGAAATGGGATTCAACACCAGAACTGGGATTCAAACAAGGTGAATCAAACCCAGGCCTTCCATCACATAGCTTTAACTAAAATAGTTAAGGCCAAATTTTCACTTAATTACACAGTACAAGGGTAGAGCAAGCTAAATTTCTTAAATATGAATACAACTAACTGTTTGGCACAATCTATGCTTTCAGAGCATTTCAAATTACCTGGTTAATGTGTGAGTGAGTGAGTTGAGATTTTAAGCAATATTTAAGCCATATTGTGACTAAATCAAGTTATGGATTTATAGTAATTGAAAGAAAATTTTTTAAAACCCTGGTTAATGAAATCCAGAAAGATATACATGGCAACATACAAACATTAAGAAACATATCTTCAATTAATTGAAACAATTTTCATTTTTTTTGTTTTAACTCTTGAAAGTTTCATATTGTGTCTTCATTCCATACTGCATATTGTAATGAAACATAAAAATTAATTGACAAAGAAAACAGAATATTTAAGTTTCTTACATCTATATTCTTATGAAATGAATGAAAAACAGATCATATAAAAATAAAAATAAACCAAGCTAAATTGATGGTTTCTTTCATAAACCAGAACAAATTGGACAAGACATAAGAAATTCGCATTTTTTTAAAGTCATATTAAAGAAAAAAAACGAAACAATTTGGCAAATATTGTCGCTGAAATCAAATAGCGTTTCATTACAGACAAAGTCAGACTTATTGCAGACGATCGATCAATCATGAAGTTAACGACAAACCGTCTTTCCTTTTCTAACATTTCAAAACAGCCCATCTTCTCCACAGGCCTGCCTACCTGGGATTAACCCAACACGGTAGTGAATGCGTAGGTGTGATACTGACAGCCGTGCTCTACCGAGTGTTCGTCATAACTGAGTTGTCATACGACCGAAATATGACACGCTGGACGCGGCCTATCAATCTACACAGAGTGGAATACGTGAGAAGCCGACAAAATCCCTCCACGACAATTGTAAGTACAAATCCACAGACCAGCCTTGCTAATGACTTCCAGGTGTGTGCTGGCAGAATGAACTGCCTGGGTTGGTCTGTACGCTAACACCGAGCGTGATTATAGAAGTATTACCTGATTAGTGTTTGGATAATCTGTTCGCGGTCCCCCCGTAGCGCCTCATGGACATATTCAGGGCAGATATTTGGGGGGTTGAGCAGTGAACGGGTGAAATGTGTCCCCCCAAGTCCGGTCATCTAAATCCACTGACCGAGTGCTAGGGCAGGAAATGTGTGTCTTATGTTGGGGATTAATGACAGGTCACTGATTTCAACACTTGGTTTTATCTGATGGAGGCTTAAGAGATTGATGGAGGTATTAATGTCGTCTTCATCACCTGTGACAGATTGTTTTGAAGAGCAAGGTGGAATTCAGATATGAACAGGAAACGTAAGTTTCGCATTGTCAAAATACACTGAACAAAACGAATAAAAGACACTTGTAGGTTTTTATTCTAAATTATATACTACTTATCAAGTTTTGAGCAGAACAAAATTTGGTTTTCGTGTTTGGTTTCAACCATCAGGATTTTCTAACATGGATCAATTGCCTATCTCATAGTGAGTATGTGGATGGATGAGTAGGTTGATTGGTCAAATAATGGTGAGGTGATTAGGTGAGTGAGGGTGAGTTTGTGGAATTGGTGAGGTGATCAGGTGAGTGAGGGTAAGTTGGTGGGCATTGGTGAAAAGATTAGTTGAGTGAGGGTGAGGTGGAAGATTGGTGAGGTGATTAGTTGAGTGAGGGTGAGTTTGTGGAATTGGTGAGGTTATTAGGTGAGTGAGGGTGAGGTGGAAGATTGGTGAGGTGATTAGTTGAGTGAGGGTGAATTTGTGGAATTGGTGAGGTGATTAGGTGAGTGAGGGTGAGGTGGAAGATTGGTGAGGTGATTAGGTGAGTGAGGGTGAGTTTGTGGAATTGGTGAGGTGATTAGGTGAGTGAGGGTAAGTTGGTGGGCATTGGTGAAAGATTAGTTGAGTGAGGGTGAGGTGGAAGATTGGTGAGGTGATTAGTTGAGTGAGGGTGAGTTTGTGGAATTGGTGAGGTGATTAGGTGAGTGAGGGTGAGGTGGAAGATTGGTGAGGTGATTAGTTGAGTGAGGGTGAATTTGTGGAATTGGTGAGGTGATTAGGTGAGTGAGGGTGAGGTGGAAGATTGGTGAGGTGATTAGGTGAGTGAGGGTGAGTTTGTGGAATTGGTGAGGTGATTAGGTGAGTGAGGGTAAGTTGGTGGGCATTGGTGAAAAGATTAGTTGAGTGAGGGTGAGGTGGAAGATTGGTGAGGTGATTACTTGAGTGAGAGTGAGTTTGAGGAATTGGTGAGGTTATTAGGTAAGAGAGGATGAGTTGGTGGGGATTGGCGAGGTAATTAATGCACTTCACAAATCCCACAGGACACCCAAA